TTTAATCACATTCATCATTGTTATCATCTTATTATATTCACTAATCAATGAAATTCTAAATTACTTGACCTTTTGAAAAATTGCGATTATCACTATATTGAAATATTCCTATTGAAAGTGTACTATTAATAGATAGTTTACAAATGTGTTACTAATACGTGAACGGTAATCACATTATTTTAAATCTAAAAATACTAGATTAGTGTTCATTAAATGACAAAATGTTGTCCAAGTTTTGTTAATCTTTATATTTAATAAACGTTAGAAATAAGTTTACCAAAACATGAACGATAATCCCATTAAACATTAATTTCGATTATTAATCTCTAAGGGATATCTTAATCACTTGACCTTGGCCATAGAAAAGAAGTGAAAAAGAGAAATAATGTAAATCAAATTGTGGGTGGCCCTGAAAAGGGCCTTTATTCGTTCTCGTTTTAGTTCTAAATGGCGCCGCACATAGGACAATGAACTGCTCGGATGTTCGGTGATGGGTCGTAGGCACAGAAGGTATGAAACATAGCTTCACATCAACAGAAAACCCAACCAACCGTATCATTAGTTTCACAAGGCGGCTGCGCAAGATTACAGGTATCGCATAGTCTGTTCTCTTCATCCTCTTCTTCACTTTGGATTTCTCGTTCAGTTAACTCTTCAGAGTTAATACTATATACTTCCTCCTCATGTTCACTGAGCTCTTCGTTGCATAAACGGTTGTGTTACGTCAGTCGACTGGCTGGGCATACAAATGCTGTTCTCCATGCAAATCCAACGGTGTTGTTGATAGTCTACCTTGAACTAGGAACCGATGAAGTGAACTGATTTGTTCGTCAGACATTCGCCTGGCTATATCTCTAACTTCATTCCTCAGGTTCGGCTGACTCAATTGCACTGGGATATACAGACGTCTTGATCAGTCAGTCGTTTCCCATGAGATTAGTAAACAAAATTCTTTACGTGGAATGCTGCGGTACCAGATATCAGCAGCGGTTTAACAGCTTCGAGCTCACCTTCCGTTAACCTACGCACCCATGAATTACCTTTGTACCTCAGGGAACTGCACTCGTGATTGTAATGCACATTCCCACGTACGACAGTCCAGTAGCCGTCTACAATCTTACAAAATATGAAAGCCGGACATCAAATGTTCATGGAAGCGCTTCGTCAAACAAATTATAATAACATTAACCAAATTACCTCCTCCGTCTAATACGCTGTGACGAACTGCTAGATCCTATTCGCACGTTTCTCCAAAACACAAATTTTATATAAGAATTTTGATCTCGACTAATATACGAATCTTGCACAGCATAATGACTGTAACTCAACCTTTCATAATTGATGATAGCCGTTTTCAACGCTTCAACCAATGGAAACACAACCAGAAACAAGGTTGTTAAAAACACTTCATCAAGTTCCGTTACGTGAGAAACAACAGCGCTTGTACTTGGAACGGTACTGTTCTCCGTAATGACGATTAAAATGTTCATCGTCTACAAGTACTGATAATTTATAACAATTTTCAAGACATAATTAACCAATTACATCGAAGTTTTAAAACTACCCATTTCATTGGAAGAAACAGGGGATGAAAAATATTGTAATTTAGGGGTTGAAAAAAATTTTTCCGGAGGGTGGGGGACAATTTAAAAAAAATTGCCGGTGGGATAAGATAATTCCATATATAGGACCTTGAAAATAAAGTATCTAAGGTCAGAAATGAAAATAACAAACTACTTCGCTATCAAATAAGTACTGATATGGAACAGTCTTTCCTTCACAATTTTCACGGCTAACGTATCACATAAGTTTTAAAGAATATTCGATGAAATCTTTGCTTGAACTGGTCTCATTGCATGAGCAAACACATCTACGCTTTACTCAGACATCATAGGCTTCAAACACGCGTACTTCATATCGGAATTTAAGTTTCGTTCCCTTCCATCATCATTTCTGAAGTTCTGTTAGATATTTCCCCGTAGTTACATGTATATCATTAACTTCTAATTGAAGTACAAAGTAAACTCAAAGAACATAACGGTATTACCGAAATACGGTTGGATGAAAAGGATGCTCACTACTATCCTAAAAAGTGACCTCGTGAACAACGCAAATATCTTCCCTACTCCGAGTAGCCTTGGATCTATAGAGCTTGTAAGCCATCACCCATTGTTGATAGCACAATACAAAATGAACACAACCTATGCTGGTTCCTTCTAGTCAGTTTTCATCAGCTTATTACTTTCATATACATTTCACTCTATCATCGTTAATTTTAACACATTACCCGGTACCTTATTTATAAGTAATATATTTCCACTTTTTTCCCCCTACATCGACAAATATTTGCCTGCCATTATACTTTTCAAAATGTAATAAATGTTTTTAAAAAAGACGCTATATCTCACGGTAAATTAACACATTACATCTACGTCTTACACACAGTCCGAAATTGAAAACGTCTATTAAGCTTGTAACATGGTACTCGTAGAAGTAGAGTTATCCGATAGAAAACAAAACATAAGGCATGCCGTAGGACATAGAAGCAATAGTAAGTTTTCCACGTAACAATGTGCCACAGAAGATATCCAGTTTGAGGGCAAAGTCGTAATGCTACAAACGTTACAGAGTTCACAGTAACAAGCCACCAAGTTAAGTTGATATGTAATGTGACGTACTAACAGGGAGTAGATTTTGATACATAAGAACATGAATAATGTTATGAATAATCATAATAAATAGCGGGTGCGAGTCATTCTTCAAGGTAGAATCGATAATTTGCTACATGGATTAACAGATAAGATATTACCAAAGCAATGTTAACAAACAGACGGGAGAAATGAGAATTTTCGACAGAAAACTCTTGCAGATAAACCAACAAGTTAAGAATGAGGTTCAGTGTTGGCACTGCACTATGAGTCATTAGTTGTTATTTGTTTAAAAATGGCTCATTGCACCCACGCACCACAAATTCCAACTTTACGTGCTACATTCTTGGCGCTGAAAAGAAGGGAAGGAAAATAAGCAGCGAAACGAGAAACAAGATATAGTTTATGAGCTCAGGTTTTTACTTTTTGAGATGGGAGAGTTTAAATTACGACTATTAGCAGGAAGGACACAGACTGATCGATAAAGGAACGTCAGATAAATCATATGGACTAAACGAAGTGTGTAAAGAATTTTAATGGTAATACAGGTCTTAGTTAACAGAAGGTTGATGAGCGAGGTTAGACAAGCGTTTATTGATTCCGATAAACTTACAGTAATGTAAATTTTCTGAATCTCCATATGACTATATCACTATAGCCTTGTTTATTTATTGTCTGTTTTTACTGTTGTTGTCGGATGACAATTGTCAGGTCTTTGTTTTGGTGACTGAAAATTTATGTGATGCGTTGAGTTGGCAGAATAGGTAAGCCGACAGAAGGTGAAAATCGCAAATTGAAAAAGCAGCAGGCATAGAAGAACAACTTCAGTGTCTTTGAATAGACGTCCCGTTACCGATCACATAGAGCGAAATCAATTAGAATATTGTGCTACACAACGTTTTCTGGTTAGTAACTTTGCCCTCCGTCCGATCTAAAAGTAACCTTAAAAGTTTTACATCACAAAAGAAGCGAGGGTGGAGTTGCTGATCAGCAAGCATTTATGTTGAGCGAGGTTACTTCGATCCTCTCATATTTGTGGAGCAGAACATTTTGTTTGTTTGAAGCTCTTTACCATTTAGGATGAGACAATGAGTCAGTGATGTTGAACTTTATTTCTACGCCGCTACCCAGATTCAGGTTTCCGCTTTTACAATGGGTTCGCTGTTCAAATATAACATATAACTCATGCTAACTTAGAGTTTGGCGTTATGGCCTAGAATAATAAAAAAAAATAATGGGCAATAAAAGATATAGTGATTAGCCTCTCCAAACACCTTACTTTTTTCACCTCATAGCTTTGTCTCGTCCTGTGCGAACGGTTGAGCGTTGATGCTGATTTGCACCCAAGTGTCTTGGTGCTTCTTTGTTTTTCCATTTTTCAGCATCGCATTAGCAATACAGTCAAATAACATCTTATTTCGCCTTGAACACCGGCATAAAATAGGTGTTTGTCAATGTCTCAGTTTAAATTGGAAGCTTTTTAATTATTACCTACGACCGTGATCGGTCGCATATTAGTAGACCTAGACTGGAGAATAACTCCGTGACACATTTTGGCTTGAGCAAATCGAAACTTAATACTGCTCGGCAAAGTATGAGTAGTAGTTGAAAAATATTTGCAAAACAATGTGAAGGAGTGGAGTTTAATAAATAAAAGTGTGTGCAAGCTAGGCTGAACTTACATGAACAATGTTTTTCCACTAAGTACAGTTCTCATAACAACGGCAAGCTTGTAAGATCAACTATAGAATAAGAAGTAATCAAAACAAACAATTTTTTACTGCTCACTCAGTAAAATGTTACGTTGCGACTCAGAAATTACTTGTTGTTAAAAAGACAAAAATATCACTTGTCAAATGACCTCAGAGCAAGAAGTTGAATGTATATAACAATGAACGTTCCTAGCGATTAAGAAACACAATACTTCTCCCAATAAAGATAGGTTGAGCCAATTAAGCCAAATGAAACCAACCAAACATAAGATCACTCAATACAGAAGACTCTAGAGAACATAATGTCGCTATAAAAAAATGTGAAAAACCCACAGGTTCTAAGAAACTGAACGACGAAAATTTGGGATATAGCCTTACGACAAAGTAATTTTAACGAGTGACTTACTCAGATCAGAAACCCTTTTCATTCGCAATAATAAAGACTAGAACTAGCTGTTCAAACCAATTTGTGATTAAACTTGTTACATCCGAAACACTGGTACAAAATGCTATTGGAATTCTTTTGTTCACTGTAGGATTGTATAAAAACTTGTTTGTTATTTTCACGAATGCAGTTACCACGACTTCAGTGACGGTGGGAATACAAATCCACATAATGTTTGTTAAAAACTAAGATAAAATGGTAAGTCATCGAACATATATCATAAATCAAATCCCAGCCTCGTCTAATTAAAAAGTTGTTTCGTATTTCTTATTTGGCAGTTTGTAAGGTTGATCTCGAAACTATTGGGAAGTTAAGAAAAAAGAAATTGTTATAGCTACATCTAAATGACATAAAAAGTTTTAACTCCATCTATATACGAAATCAAGCCTCATTACGTCATACAACAGTTAATATGATGAGGAGAAGTGTTATGTTATGTGAAAGCCAGCACAAACCCGCACTACATTCTCAGTATACAAGATCTCACTCGTATGATCCTATGTACGTCCTTGAGAAGAGCTGTACTCACTGCTCACAAACAAGTTCTTTTTACAGATCCTTTACGGTTCATTGCTTGTCAACTACATTGTGCAGATATTTTGCTGCGGTATCAAAGTTTAACAGTGGCGTCTTAATAAAAGAAAATGATTGATATTTTGCAATATCAATTTTTAATGGGTGTTTGAAACTATAGGACAAATAGGTGACGTCGTAACAACAACATATTGCACTGTATCAAACAATGGGCAAACCCGTATTAACATAGGTTTCCCTTGTAGAAACAAATGACATTCGCTAAAATAATCCAAAGAAACTACGAGGAAATTCGAGTCCCTTTAACAGACGTTATTTTCATAGTTTTTTCTTATATATCCGCATGAAAATAGGAAACAATGTACCATAGATGTCAAGAGGTAAATAAATCCTCAAAATAGATAGCTCTGTTAGTTTTCAACATCTGATGCTGACCTCGTTAGTTTCACTAGACTCGCCTAACTCAAGGCGCCCGGTCGCGCATCCATACCAGATCATCAGTGGACACATCGTACTTCACATCTTATACAACCACTAGCCAGCTTAGATTGATCACTTGTTGACGTATCGATAGTCTAACACATATATATTCGAACCTTTTCAGTTCTGACTTTTGATTTGACTGGGTTCGCACGTTTTAATTAGAAAAAGTGTTACTGGTTAAGGTGTTGTCAAACTCCGAATACTTGTAGAATATTCAGATATATAGGACAACAACCTCATGACGATAAACTTATTTAAAAACTACTAGAATAATAGAGTTATATCACAGAATGTACAAACATATACATGCATATAGCTTTTAGATAAAATATTTGGAATCGGACTGGTATACAGAAGCCAATCCACTCCATTTATATATCAGGTCAATACTAGCCTTGGTAGTGGTTTAAAAGAAACAAGGAATTCCCATGTATATTAATAATGTATTCGTAAGCAGTATTCATAGCACTTGAATAACTATTTTGAGTTCTTAAAAAGTGGTAAAAATAGGTATTTCGTAATGTGCTTGAGAATTCAACCACCATAAAAGTAGCTTCGGTCAAAAGCCGTATGGATGATTTTGTACACATCTAATTTTGAAAAATTAACCAAATAAGAGGTGAAGAAATTTCCCCTTGGATTTTTCCAATGTGTTTTAACGTTATGATTCTTGACAAGTTTTATTTTCTGAAATGAAGATCAAACTACCATGCGAAAATAAAGTTAGACTCATCACAAATATGAAAGAAGGCTAGTTATCAATCAATAAGTATACTTAAAACAGATGGATGTACAAGATACAAAATATAGCCTCTTTGTCAAAATTATAGAGGTAAACTGAAACGCAGTCAAATCTAATGAATTAATTTGTCACAATATTAGTTGACACAGGTTAGTAACATACAGATGGTGTGCTGGATGGTTTTCCTGCTACGTAGATGAAACGCTTAATAACTTAAAGAGACCAATTTGAAGTCATAAAATGATTGAAAACATCGTTAATAACATCAAAATTACAAGACAAGAATCGGTAAACAAGATTCCAATCTCGGACGTCGTACAAAACAGAATAAACATAAAAGTTTAGGAAGTCGAATCATACTGATTAAGTGCTGAATTATAACAGTACCAAGCCGACATCACGCTATTCAAAATAACACATGTGCACTGCATCACTGCTATGAAATGAAAAGTCATAGAAACTAATGTCCCATAAAAATAACCACCTCCGTAACTTCATGAAAATTATGTAACAAATTGAACCAGCGTCACAAAATCAACCTCAGAAACTGACAAGTTTACTGTAGTCCTACATCTCAGGAGGTATCGCAAGGATTTCAGAACTGTTTGGGATCACCGTTAGCCACAAAACAGAGCAATTTTTTCACTCCAACTTATGTCAACCAAAATACAAAATTGAAGGAAGACGAATGCAACGTCGTCTACAAATAAAATTGTACCGAATGTGATAAACACTACGCTAAATGAAGTGCAGATCCTCTTCACCTACACATGCGAGAATGCTGGTCGTCAGTGAGACAACATAACATGATGTCACCGACTTCAGCTCACGTTGTTAACCACGGGTGCAAACCTGACTAGGAAAATTTCGAAACTCTACGTAGAAAAAAATCTAGAAACATAGGATTCACATTAATTAAATCTCAAAAGAAAAATAGAGATTGACTGCGTCTATCAACTAGTGAAAGGGTCACTCAGAAGTCTCATCATAGGAGCGAAAAAGTAAACATAAATCCGGAGACGAACGAAAACAACCGATAAAAAACAAGGTCACCAAAACTAATTGATGCAAGGCTTGTGGAATAACTAAGGAACACACTTCTCCATAAAGGGCTGATGTTGTCTACAATGAAAATGAAAACTTAACAATTAGATCACCTAGCTTAAAGAACCCAGCATTAATTTATTGCAATCAAATCTAAAATGTTTCTTTTTAAGTCTATCGTTTTTGCATTGATATGATAATTGATACTTTTAGTACCACTCTGCCTATGTTGATTTGCTGCGGGTTTTTGAAACTGAACATGAGTTGTTATTTTAAGTAGAATTACAAAACATATAACTGTCTGAATAACATACCTGACAGATGAGAAACCTGGTTGTGTAGCATCATCCTAAGAGATGACTCCCTTACTTGATCATCATTGCCTTCTGAATATATTACTCGAAATTATTTATACCACGTGTTTAAGAGACAGTCGTAGTATGTGATCAGAGTAAAAATCTAAAACTAAATACTTTGTTCTAAGGTGATAGTACAATATCAAGCGGTCCTCAGAGACACTAATATCCTCAATTTTTTATGACAAAACTTTCAGTTTGTTAAATGAATGAAGTTCAGGTGCTCACGTAAAATCCTAGAGATTGAAATTAATAAGATTTATTATTGACTAAACACACTAGATTACCCGTAATGAATTTAGTTCGTAGTGAACCAAATACACATGATAGGGTTCATTGGTTGATAACAATCAAATTTGAACTATCTTCTTTAAAAAAATGTATCTGCGCAAATTTTCATCAACAATTGTTGGACAGAAATAATTAGACCAGTCAATCACTACACTATGTTGCATGACCTTTTACAATGAATAGAGTATGGTCTCATTAAAACTAATGATAAGGATTGAGGTTTCGTAATGTTAATTTATTTTCATTTAGAAAATGTTTTAAACGATACGACTATGTGTCATCATAAGGCTTAGCAAAAGATTGCCTTCAGAACTAATGGGTGAGGAAAAAAAAATTTAATCACCCTTTCCGCTCAATTTCAAAGTGTTTACAGAATACTACATCACATCTGTAAATTGGATTAGAATGACATAGACACTGTTCATTTATTTCATGATAAATCTTCAATTACCAGCTTCTTTTAAACATGTGATCAGCGCCATGTACAATTGTGATTAAAAAATAGAGAAAGATGGTTGTAACTGCATGATTAATGTATATGGCCTTAAACGCTATTCAGCTCATGTAAGTAACAACAATACGCTGTAAAAATCAGTTAAATTTCTTGAATCTATTTAAACTAAATAGTTAAGTAATAGGACACAATGACTGTATACAAGTGAGTGTATAAGATAGTCTATTGTTCGAGAACTGGAAACACTAACAATCATCTGGACTTTTGAAATGGGATAGAACTAGAATTTCTAAGTTTACTTGTCTAATATTTAAGAATGAACGTCATTTATGGAAAATAGAAAAGCATCACGTTTATTTAGTTGAATTAGAGTTAAGCAAGTATATGAAGCTTGATCATGCATTAAAAAGCCAGACGTTACCTAACGATAAACCTGGTTAAAATTTGATTTCAGCCAAAAGCAAAAGGAAAACAAAAACTGAAGAAAGGAACTAAGAGAAAATCTGGGAAGGGTAAACGCAAAGGTCGGTCATTTAGGCAGAAAAAGCCTAAACATGAAATTGATATTATGAGCCTATGTGCCATGGAAAACTTATACTACATCGCGCACAATGCACCAAGTGCATTGATGTATCGTGGTTTTTGTTGGCCAAGGTTAAAACCAAAACGAGGTAAGGGTAGGCGGAAAGGGAGAAAGAAGAGGAAAAAATAACAATCTTGACGTACCATTAAACATTATACAAGATGCTTCGACTGAGATGTTATCCTTTATTTATTTACTTATTTATTTATGTTCACAGATAATTTCTGTTGCTTATGACATTTATTTCATAGCTTTTTCCATAGCATGTGCAAATAAAATTGTTACTAAAACCTATTAATGCTTTTCGACAGTTGCAAAAATCCAGATAAAGGCATTTAAACCTACAAACTTGAATATCAAAGGGTACTGATATTTTTACAGCCACAAACATGCAAACAGCCGGACTGGTGATCATGAAAAGTTTAAAATGAGTATTGACTTCACCAAGATAGAAATAATCAAAATACTGATTTATGAATCACCTAGTTAAATGATATAAAACTCTAGACCGAGAGTAAGTGATATGCAACTAAATTCTATTCACTATTTCGATAAAAGTGATCATGGTGTATTTTATTTTCAAAGTAACCAAAAGATGAATTATAGACCAAGCATACATGGGTCGTCCAAAGTGTACTATTCAATTAGTTCAGTCGTACGAAACAAATCTGATTTCCGTTGACAAATCGAAGGCTGTATGATTGCTTTTTCACGCACCTGACAGCTGGATGATTGAAATATGTAACATAACACAGTACTGGACTTCACTAATTTCTTTATTATTAGTTCACAGTATTTTGCATAGATGAGTAATATCAATGAGTCAAACTGAAGCTTAATCTGTATCACACAATAATTTAGTATGAATTTACAGAACCCAAAAATCAATACGATGACGATAACAGCACGTATTCCCTAAAAAGCTGATGTTAGTGAAATGAAACACAAGTTCTTTAAACAATTAGACTGAATCAAGATATCGCAAATATAAAACGAGAAATATCGTGAAACTTTCAAAAAGAACAGGTAAAATGAAGTAAAGCTAGAAATGTTCTATTCAAAAATCTAGTGAAATAGAAAATGTAAAGGTAATCCAGCTTCGTTTTGAGAAAGCTTTTAAGTCATAATATTCCTGGTTTTCTACAACAGTTAATCGAACCATTTAGTATTCTGTAGTGATAGACTAATACAAATTCCCGTCTAACATTTAGTCGGAAAATGGAAGTTGACCTAACGACAGAATAAATTATACAATAAGGAAACAATGACATAGGTTTAATGAGTAGAAAACTGAATTTCTGACACTTTCCTGTCAGGAAGTCATTTGATTCGTACATTAATTGACTGTTGATACGACTAGTGAGCCTAGAGTCGATTGAGATTTTGTCCTACTAAGAAGAAATTACGTATTCTTTAGTCTTTGTGCAAGCAGCTAGTTTGTTCTTACTACACTGTTGAAAACCGCAACTATCGGGACCAGTCATCACCGTATAAAATTCGAAGCTACTCAGTGTGAAGTGTACATGTAAGACAGTATATCACTGTTTGATCACCAGTCATTGTACTACTCTACTAATATTTTGTTAAATTGAATGTTTAAAGTCCATATACTTCATCGATTTACGTTTAAAAACCTAAATACAAATTAAGGCCAACAATAAGAGTGAAAGGAAATATTGTTATTGTTCTGCGAGTAGATAAAATGAAATAACAAATTTGCACTATAGACCAATCCAATCGCCAAATAACTAATGACAAAAGCAATATGAAGACAATATTTTAACTGAATAACTGAAAACAGATTAATTTACAAAATATGAATACAAAAAGAAACTTATTTATACATAAGTTTCCAGAAGTGTTAGAGATCCTATCAAAGTTTTATGTTAGTAACGATTTTTTTGGAAGATGAAGTCCAAATGGAGAAGCGATTAAACTTAACCACATAATCATGTACTTCACCGGATCATTAAATTGAGTAGGCTGCGAATAAAATACTTCCTTCATGAGGTCAGCAGTTTTACAAGGATGAAACTCATAAAATGGAATTCCGAGGTGTGGATGTTCGATTTCACTAAGGGCATGTAGGGGTAGTGGTACTTCAGAAAGAGGAAACACAGATGAACGGAAATTTTCACTCCACAGTTTGTCATGATGTAATGAACGGCCACTTTTTGTCTGGAAACGCATTAAAAGAACAGGCACTTGATAACTATGACTAAAAACTATACGATACTCTGCTAAAATTTCATCCGACAACAGAAATTCATTCGTTAATAAGCAGCTGGTATTTGATTTGCCAAGTAGTATTGGCTTTCTGTAGACCATTTCCAATTCGTCCGGATATCCGACAAACTCATCAATAAACCATTCATCACCACTGTCACTATCACAAATTAAATTGTTTTTTAAGGTTTGAATAGCATCTTTATATGCTATTAATGTGAGTTGGCCATTTTGATGATTCCTAAAAAACAGGGAACATGAGGATTGATGGTTAACTTGTCTGACTAAAAGATATGGACAAAAATACTGAACTTAGCAAATGGAATTAACTTGCGTAAAAAATTGTAGAATTCACAAGAACATCAAACATAGGCGTAGATAAAGAACACGTGTATCAGCATCGTTTTTACCAATCTCAAAGAATGTTTTGCACAGCTTTTAACCAGTGGTTTTTAATTTTTCTGCAACACTCCCAAGAAGCTTCAATTTTATTAAGAGACCAAGAGCCATGCACAGTTATTTTGAATACTGTTACGTCCTTTTTTCAAACTACTAATTTAGCGAACATTGTGAGAATCAACAGATTGCAAATCACAACGTGTAGCCTTTAGTCCAGCCACTTCAGTATATTCAGCTTTGTAACCCAACCAAGTGAAATTTTCTATGCCGGAGACTCTACATTTGGCTAATTTATTGATGTTTTTCGAACTCTTGAAGCTTCGGGTTAACTCAAAGTATGATGAGTCAACTAGTCACCATTACTTTCAAAAAATAATAACCTTTATTTTCTTACTGATGACTATCATCTGTTTTGTAAGGTATTCGAGAAGGTTTTTCACCTATCTTCCTCTGAATAACATGACTCCAAGATATCATTACATTTCCGAACGCCAATGTATGAAACTTAATAAATATTTTACCCAACTGTCCTCGAAGTGTAAAATATTAGGACGCACGTCAGAGTGAATGATTACATATATATAATTCTATGATGTAGGAGACGATTTAATTGCTAGTCTATCAAAACAGAGCGATATATGGCTTAAAAGATTTCTCATACACGAGGTTTTTAAACGTTATCATTGGGAACTCACTAAAATCTAGTTTTTATGATCAAGGCGTTTCCCGAAACCACGATAAAACACTACCACCATATCAATGGCGGCTTTCTAGCGCAATCAACTGCCATCTATACTTTTTTGGTAGTATAAGAACTTCATTGAAATTTAAATTATCTTAATGTGTGGTTCATATGGTAAGATGACATATTTGTGGGCACTGAAACCTAGGATTAGTTTGGAACACTCGAGACGTCTAATGATATAAGTATTTCGAATTACATCACTTATCACTCTTGTAAGAGTATGTCTGCAGAACCTAGAGAATGATAACAAATCAACCCATAAAATGTGTGAGAACTGACCAGACAACCTGTGCTCTAGTTGTGGAATGAAAAAAACTTATGGTGAGGAGTTATATCTAGCGAATTCGCTCTGAAATTACACATAAATTGGTAACTACATTCCACCCACAAAACTAGTATTTGAAGGTATGAGATTTTCGCCATTTTTCTTTAAAAAGCTTACTATACTCAAAAGTAGGATGGGTCTAATTGTGGACAAGGATAAGGATTAAACAATGTGTTATAGGTTGTATAAAAAAACTCGACTTGCTCGGGAGCACGTGTCACACTGTGTGTGGAGTTAATGACAATACCCGGCTGCTCAAACAGAACTAGGTGAAGTGGAGTGTGAAACCGAGAACTTTTTCTCAGCTTCTTCACTAGTCAAAAGTGCGGAGAATGAGACGAAATGTACACTAAAGCCATGAAGCAGTTAGACAAACTGTTGAAAGGGATGTCGGGTTTTGCTTACAAAGTAGACCTCAAAACAATGTTTCTTCAAATATTCATAAAGCTGGGCTATAAGTGCAAGCTAAATATGAACGTGTACGTTGTTCCAAAGTCACGAAGTACATATCGAAACAACCTGTGGTCTACCGGTGGGGGGAGTAGATTTACTCAAGGAATTGCTACCGATTGACTGTATTATAAATATTTCAGTCCAGGAAGGCATCTTAAACTATTTCAGTACTGAAACCATTATTAGCTATCTTGGGATTAGTTTGCAGAGCTTAAAGTTCGGAGTAAGATTCAGTATTATGGTTTAGGATTAGAACCTAGTATAAGGATGTAGAATTGAGGATTTGTAGTAGGAATTAGGTTTTAGAATGAGAGGATATGATAAGGATTAAAATTGATAATTGAACTAAGTGCTCTCTTAATCACAAACCCGACATATTATTTCTAAACCTAGGTCCAGCCTTAAATCGCGAACTCTAAATGTCCAGGGTCAGTTGCAGTCCTTATTCTATAGCCTAAATCCTAGTCTCAGCATCCTATGCAATCCATCAATGTTTGTTGTTTAATGATTGACTGAACGGGTAAAAAAATTTCAAAGTTATTCGAAAGGAGCTCAGCATTTGGGGAGATCTAAATTTACTGAATACTGCTTTTAACCAAACACAATTTTATAATCCTAGGGTTTATTGCCACGAAAGGACTGCTATGACAAACGAAGGTATCCCTATATCGATGACACAGATTTCTTTCACAGAAGTAAGTAAGCAGAGTGGTACAAATTCGCACCATATTAACATGGACAGATCTAAGCTCTCTTCTACGACGGATATCCTGTTTCGTCGGATATAACATCGGGCAGTTTTTAAATCTGACTAACCATGAATTACAACTGATATGATTCTTACATTCGGAGTGTGATATTTTAGTATACTCAAGACCAAAATATTTCGACCATGACCTTGAAGTCATAAAAGCCTCCGCGTAGAATCTATCTTCAGTCTTGCGTTATAAGGATAGTAGGTTAGTGAACATGTGGTAACCCTGACAGATTGCCTCTCAGTGAGGATCCAGCTTCTCCTTGAAAATATACACTGGAAGGACTGATACCACTTGTTCGTGTAAGGCGTTTCAGTCATTGACTTCTCAATGAGAAAAACGGGACCCCACTTTAAGTTTATTAAATAGCGTTTTGCGAACCATCTTACTATGACCTCGGGGATTATCAGTGATGGAGGAAGCAAAAAAATAGGACATATCAACACCGAAATCATGATTAAAGTTACGAAATCCAGTATGTCACCCCACGTCCTACGATACGACACTGGCAAAGGTTTAGGCGTTTTAAACGCTCGTCTTAAGAGAGTTTAGAAAGACTAGCTGCTTGGTTACAGTACTTTAAATGTGGTCTTACATATGTGTGATATAAAATTCGAAGCATTTCTTCGCCAAATCATTTGAATACTCGGCGAAGCGACCATAACGCACTAAAACCTTTGACAGAAACTGTGTTGCAATGTGTAGTTGTTTTCAGGTCATGACTTATTATTACTCCTAAGTCTTTATGTTCTTGAACGCGTGGAAGTGATGTGACATCAATAGTATAATAGTGACTAACATTAGGTAAATGGCAATGATCAGACGCGAAGTTGGCACAACGTTTTATTACGAATAAGATCAACAATGGGTTTATTTCGAGATATGAAGTGAGGATTATAAACAAGCTGGAAAATGACCACCCTGTCAGTTGACATGTGAGAGCATTTCGAGAAAGTGAGCGGATTCTCAGCCGTACTGGGGCATTTGAAGGCCACTTAAGGGTCATGTTTAATTGAGACACAGAATCTTTCACAAAAGAAATTCCATAGAGGCGTCAATATATATATATATAGGAATAAACCTCGTGCGGGTACAGGGTTATTGGGTTCACCTTTGTGAACATCTGTGGTGGCATCGGGCCCTAACACGATACAATATGGGAAATACCTAACAACGGAGAAGGTGGGAACAACTAATTGAATAAATTCGAGTTAATCTGATGGCATGGCTCTGCCATGCAGCTATATCATGGCAAATCTACAATTTCAGGATCAGGTCTATTATTAGAGCAGTTCTCATATCATGATAGACCATAAATCCACACATCCACTGAGTGGTTATAGTCACCCCAGCTGAGAGAGTATCATTACAGGAATGATTCCATAAATAAATCCTCAAAATAAACATTTCCGTAAATCTTCTACATTGTATGCTGACCTCATTAGTTTTAACTAACACACCTAACTGAAGGCGCTCGGTGACACATCCGCATCAGATCACGAGCTGCTCTACATCTCTTGCAACCGTTATCCAGCTTAGAAGGAACGCTTCTCGAGATGTCGATAACCTCCCAAATATTACCTCAAACCACTTCATTTCTGATTTATGATTCGATTGAATTGGTATACTTTTATTATAAAAGTGCTAGATGTAAAGACGTCAAAATCCGAACACCTGTGGTATCTTTAGGTGAAATCTGATCTGAGAAAAAGTGTAAACTTACTAACACAAGGATTCGGCAACCCAGTGATATGAATAAAATTATAAGTACAAATATATAGTACCAGACTGGTTTTTATCAGTTCTTTACAGTAAAGTACAGATCACATCAAATATCTTGATTAGGGATTCCTCGACAGCCCACAGACTTTAGTAAAGGTGTTTGGCCAATGGCTGAAGGATTTCAACTTAATTGTTCTGAGTCTTTTATACTTCCATGTAATGGTTACTTTCTCATCTTTTCCATCGATAACTCAATTTTTTTAATTATACGTTCGGTTTCAAAGATCGTGTGGCTAGGGACCAGTGTCACAACAGTCATAGACACTAAAAATCAATGATATTCTGAGGAGCCTGTCCGTTCATAAATCTACCTGATTAGATGGTAACAAACCCAAAGTACTGCAGAAGTTTTCGGACTTTCTTAACCATCCAGCACACCTTGGTTTCCAGCATGTCTCGTCGGCACTCAACTTCATATACTGAGTTCGACGGGCGAAAGCAAGGATATGATAATGAGGTTCTCAGATTAATCGTTCTTCGCTTATTCTCAATAATTATAGGATGCATGAAATTATTGGCAATAGTTCCACACCCGCCGCTCACCTTCGAAAACACCCTTGTATGATATTGCTGATCACTCTCCTTACTCAATTGGACCTATGATAAACTTCAGTTGTAAACCACACCCAAAAAGGGACGAGAAAAAACACTATATTACGTGCGAAATTTCTTGTGATACGAAACTTTATACTGGGAGCTATGGGGATGGCATATTTCAATAAATCTTTCGAGAAAGGTTTTATAATTTCTTTAAGTCTATAGAGGCAAGAAGAAAATACTTCAGGTGTACTTAATTACATTCTTACTTCTGTTACCTGTAATGTAGGAGCATAGGTTGCCCACCAGCATCATACATCCAACCCTGTCCTGAGCAATCCTTTCAAGTTTCTATTCATGTTGACTCCCACTTCTTGTCTAGGTGTGTTTTTAGGCTTTCCTCTTTTCCTTTTCACTAAAGGAATCCAAGTTAGCGCCTGTCTTGTGAGCAGTGTGATGATTTCCTCAACGTATGTCCTATCAACATTCAGCGTCGTTCTATCACTTCCTCCTCAGTTGGAAGCTGATTTATACTCTCCCAAACTATGCTGTTGAAAATGGTATCCAGCCAACGTACATTCAGTATCATGAGCAGACAATTGTTTATAAATATGGGTACATTTTGTATGATGGTTGGAGTAGTTCCACAAGTTTTGACCCCGTACATATGTACTGTCTAGATGTCCAAATTGGAGATTCAGACTTTGATATTGGTTGACAGTTGTTTTCCGTTCCATATGTTTTTCAAACGTATGTCTAGTTACATTCAATCTGTTCATTGCATTCCATGCTTTTCCCCGGATGTCGAGGTGTTCATAATCCAGTCGACCGCCAGAACAAAGAGAAAAGACGATAGTACGAAGCCTTGTCTAACATTGGTCCTTAATTGAAGTGCATCTGTCAGGTGTCCTCCATGCACCACTTTGCAGTGTAGTCCGTCGTGTGAATTCCGGATGATGTCGACAATCTCCTCAAGTTCACCGTAGTGTCGGAGAAGTTTCCATAAGGTTCTCCTATCCACTCAGTCAAACGCCTTCTCATAGTCAAGGAAGTTGATGTATGGTGACGAGTTCCATTCAATTGATTGTTCAACGATGATCCGTAGTGTCGCGATTCGATCTGTGCACGACCGGTTCTTATGGAATCCGGCCTGTTGATCTTGAAGCTTGGTGTCTACTGAAATTTTTATTCGGTTCAGCGACACTCAACGAAAAACGTTTTCTGGTACCGATAGTAGTGTGACGCCTCTGTAGCTGAATTCTCACGTTTGCTCAGATCTCCTTTCTTTGATATCTTGATGAGATATCCTTCTTTTCAGTGTAATTGGCCATCGTACGTCATTATAAAAGGAACCTAAATAGTGTGACAACGAGTTTAATCTACGCATACAATGTTGTATTGAGCTCTTCCAAGTTAATCACTACATATTAATGATAAAACAAATCCTTATAATCTGATAAACCTCTTTATAAAATCAGCCTACAATCTAGCTACTACTCCCAGAAAGTCATCAAAAGAACATCACACTATAGTCTGGTTACAGTGGTTAGAATATTCAGGTGTTTAAAATTAATGAACTTTACATCGTTTCTAAGGAAATATTGAATTGGAAATCCTATGCAATAACTGGTACATTTTCTTCAAGAATGGTTAAGAATGGAAAGTCACACATAGTTATGAATAACAGAAATATAACAAATTTGATAAATTCCAGTGAGTGATGATGCGTTGGTTACAATCAGTGAATCACCAGATAAGTTAAGAGACACAGTATATGATAAGGAGACAAAGTTGCACTCTTTTATAGTGCAATTCTATTTAAAACAACTTAACAAAACAAAAGTATCAGAAAACAGTATAAAAACTACTTACAAGAACAAACAAGCAAATACCAATATTTACATCCCAAAAACGAATAGTCCTATCGCGTGAGCCAGATACAAGTAACAAAGATGAATTCATATTAGAAGGTAAAGAATTTAAATCTGTAGGAATTCCATTGGTTGTGGCGTTGACAAATCCATCATTAGTAAAATTAGTAGAATCGCCACCCTCAAACGCAGAACTAGTTATTGCTAATATACTTTGTGGATGAGAAGCCCAAGCAATGCATTCAACTACGTGTTCATGGCCACGTAGTACAACTTGACATTCGCGCGATTCTACAGACCAGATTCGAATAGTATGATCATTGGAACAGCTGGCTAATAGATTCCCCTCTGGACTTGGACGGACTGATCTAATCCACTCGGTATGACCGACGAAAGTCTTCGTACAATATCTACAGATTCAAGACAAGGTAGTTGTTTGGCAAAAATACAAGTTTAAATAAGGCGAAAAGTAATCGATAAGTACCTACCGAAAAAAATCTATGACAAAAACGCTTTTAAAAATTTTCAGCATTTCTTTGACAGTTAATAAGGCAGAAGAGTTAACTGAATAATTCTAGGCTGTTTTAGTATTGTATGTGTTGTGACCTTTAGCCCGGCTAATTATCACGCGACTTATTTGCCAATCGGACTACGACTTATGCGATCCTAGCACTGTGCCAAACCAATGATGTTCGACCGGTATGAGCAGCCTAGCGTCCGTAATGGTCCTTTTTCCTCCTACCTCTGCCAGTTGAGTTCAGAACACTAGTATCAGCTTTCACCATACGAATCATTTATTTCAAACATACTTAGTTTATATACCAGACAAACTGACCGCATCACACCATAAAATAGGAGATAAGATTTATACAAGATCAAGCCAAAAAGTGGCTGTGAACGTGGAAGACTTTAATCAATAAACTGAGTATAACTTAAGGATAGTAAGCCGTATCATAATATTCTATAGGTCAAATAAAAGCTTATAATAAAAGGAATATAGATATACACAATCTAGTTACTGAATAGTTGTACAATAAGAATATATATGTAATATTAGTCCATTAATAGTTCACAGAAGTCACCAGTAATATAATTTTCACTAGGAGATAACAGTATGGATAAGTAAGATTAAACACTATAGGGTCTAACGGTCTATATATTCAAAGGCAGTTCCGTCGATTTTAATCGGTTAGTCGATATTTGTAACTGCTAACCTCCACTCCCCAATGAACGTTAGTTACGCATATGATTTAGGAAAAAAGTCGGTGAATTTATAGATTAGTGATATGTTTTAATTATGACCACTCTGAAGCATCTATCTAATGATTTATCTAATGTCAGACATTGAAGTAGACCAAACTTTGGCTTATGTACTGTTGACTTAACAAAATTAAATTAATTTCTGAGTGTCGATAGCAAACCATGTCATATTTTCCTAAAAGATCATCTTTACCATAACTTAGTAATTCCTGTTGCTATTTCTGGCAATTCATTTCTAAACTAAATGGTTATGACGAGAAAATCTATTTTAGAAAATGTTAAGCGAATACTCATTATCAGCTTTTTCCATGAATAGAAAGGTTTATACAAATAGAATAGATACTATATATACAGGTTGTTTGGGTTATAATAAGTGAAAGATAAATAGATGCTTTTGAGAATATGGACCGTTGAACGACTACAATAAGATGTGCAAGTTTAATAAATAACAAGTGTTAATCAGTGTTGAGCAGCATCAAATTAACACTCAGCACTGTAATGGTGGAGATTATTTGAAGCTCAGATTGTTGATTTAGGTGGAGCTTTGTTCTGAGTTAGATGGTTTCATTGTGGAGCTTTCATCGTTCTTCTGAATAACGTCATAAGAACAAATTTCAGGTAGAAGTGAAGTGTTCGAATTTCTCCACATATGACTTAAATCTTGTCCTGTCGTCCTCGATCTTGATGGTATCTCCCTTTGATCTGATTATTTGTCCTATGTTTGTCCACGATTTTTCTGATTGGTTGATAGAGTGGATCGATTTCCATGCGTTTATTGATTGCGGATTGGACTGAGTGACAAGCTTTTTAAAATTCTGTAGTGTTTCTAGTATTCTCTTTATCCAAGATTTAAACATTTTTCTAGTCGAATGTGTGTTCGCAGTTGTTCACATACATTGATATATAGAAAGACGTATCACAGACTTTGACCATGTCAATTTTGCTCGGTATACGCTCCCTTCATCTTCGCCTGCATGAACATCAATTAGCGGTCAAATGCCATGACATATAATCGCCTATATTAATGCATATGGACAACTGCGAACACAAATTCGACTAGAAAAACACTTGAATCTTGGATAGAGGGAATTTATTTATTTAAACACACAAACATTGGTACAAGACACCAAATATAATATACACCACACAAATAATTCTCTCTCTCTCTCTCCCTCTCTCTCTCTCTCTATATATATATATATATATATATATATATGAAAGTTGTGATTCTGCCCGATTGTCCAGACTGAAGTAGGTGGTATTCTTATGGAGCCACGCTCGGAGCATTTGACCTACAGGTCTAATCCACAAGGCAGTGGAACAACATTAAGAGATGCAGTTCCATGGTAGCCGGTGACCAATAATCGGTTCATACGCCATTTTTTCCCTCAGGATACTGGAGCCCATGTGCACCACTGGTTTGAAATCAGGGTTATTCAACTCAACTTGGTGGACTGTATCCACCAACCCAGTTAAAGCACCGGACATTCGCTTTTCGTTCTCTCAATTTCGTAAACAACGCTCCCTTCTCGAGAAGGTAGTGAGTAGGATTTCCCTGGCAGTAGCTGTCTACGCGTGACCATGTGGGAAACTTACAAGAGGGAGAGCTGACTCTACTCACTCTCAGCCGTACCAGGAGCATTTGGAGAAATACTAAAACACTAGAGAATCTTTGGAAGCTTGTCACTCAAGTAAATCATTAATCAACAAACGCATCGAAATCAATACAATGTATTAACTAACCAGTAGTATTGGTAGTAGTAATGATGATATAGCCTTATTCCCGTATGTTGTGCGAGCTTGAACCGAAGAACATGTGCTAGTTTTTGTTCTGATGACTGACTGGCTGACGGCCTCTGAGTGTAGCTTTCTAGTCTCATAAATGCTAGTAAAATCTAATCATTGACTTGAAGAAGAACCATTCTTAAACCCAACCAACTGCCTGATTGAGAAAATTTCAAGACTGTACAATAACGTACATTTATGCAAAGAAACGCTAAATTTAGAATTTACGCTGAGAAAAGAGTAAAAATTTGGTTGATACAGCTATTTCAAGAAATTATTTCTTGAATTAAAAACAAGAAATAAGACTTTTTAAATATTAAACTAGAATGATATGGTTTTCGAAATATGTATAGATTAACGTTGGTGATCTTACTTAGATCTTGTGATCTAAAGGAAATCTAGTGATCATACGATATTCGTTGATGCAAGCCAAAAATCGATCAAATAAAGAACATTCAATAATTGTATGGATTCGGAATATGTGACCTTCATATTCTGATTAGTGTATATGTACTTTCAATGATAATACACTACAACAACTTAAAGAGGCAAATAATCGATTACAAGATCGAGTGCTTCAATTTCTGCAGTACAATTATTCACGTGACAAGTAAAATACTCAAGGTGTTTTAGATCACTAACACAAAATATTTGAGTCAATCCAGATTTCTGGGAAGACAGCAACCTTTTTTTACTAAAGTAAAAAGCATGCTTTTATTAACATAATACAAAATAAACTACACGGAAACACTGAGAAAATCGGTCAACATACCCTGTAGATACTTCCCACAGTTTAATCGTTTTATCTCTACTTGCACTGACTAAGAAGTCGCCAGAAGGTAGAAACGCTACACTGGATACATTATGATCATGACCAGTCAGAGTTTTAATGCACTGATAGATTGTGAAATCCCATAATTTAACTTGCATGTCGGCAGAGCATGAAGCCAAAAACTTTCCTGACGGATCAAAGGCTACGTCTTGCACGGAATCTGTATGGCCTTTCAAGGTATGCTCAAACTCTCCGGTTTCATAATCCCAAACCTAAAAATGAATTCTCTGTTTAGAAGTGAACCATTACAAAGACTCTTGATCTATTTGAAAATAAACACAACGACAAATCTAGAAGATACCACTGTTTTCAAAACAATTCTAATTTTTAAGTACACACATGGTCAAAACTCATATTGTCTAGTCCATCAAAATGCAAAACATGACGTTGAAAGTTTACGTGAGAAATTTCCGTGATGTTACACTCGTATAAAATGAGAATCAAGCACTATTTTTTGCAATTTTGATTATTGTGCTCTCATCTGTCGATACTCCGTGGAGGAAAAATATGTACGTGGAAGAAAATACTGACCTACATATACAATCAGCTTATGAAAATATGGGTAAATAGGCTGATGATAGTCTGTTTATCATACATAGGAGAAAAAGTAAACAAAACAAATTGTAAGTTGACTAGTTACAATATTGAGACTTAGATATAACATGCCCCCTAATAATCCCCTGCATTTAGAAGACGAGACATCAAGTTTACACAGAAAATCAATTATTAACACACAATAACTTTGAAAGATTGATTCTCACTTCAATGGGCTATGTGAAAGAGCAGAATATGACATGTTATAAGCCAATTGAATAGCAGAATGGTTTAAGAAATATCCTTAGTGTGTCGACACTGAATTGCTACTGTTATAAAGTAGAGTCCTGACTATTCCATGCTCACCTCAGGCTAAAAGAGGAATACGCTGATTCGTTCGTTTTCCAACCAAACAAAGCCAGTGAATGAATCGAGAAGATACCAGAATATCTTCATGTACATTCTATGTAAATCCTAATGCTTTCATTACAACCTTCGATGTCCCAGTTTATTTAAAGATGTATTGTTCCAACTCAATTTTGACTTGAAACGAGTAGAGTGAAGTAGAGTCTAAATAGTACTGGACGGTGGAGAACTTAATGTACAATAATAATTTTAAAGGATAGTTTGGATTAGATGAAAACCCTATAAAACGAATTTACATAAAAATGAAGGAGAATTTAGAGAAGAAATTTTATTTGTAAAGATCTCAGTAATTGAGATTAAAATAAATCCGTTTTGCTCGACAGTACGGCCCAGAGTTTTTTTGGGGGGAGTAATCAAATATCAATATGATCGAACACAGACACATTGTTCACATGTCAGATGTATACTAAACAAACCGCCCAATCATGTTAAATTAGTTCCCTTAAAAAAATCTGAACCATACTACCAAGCGGAACTTCAACCGCTGAGATTGGTACCAATATAAATATATCCCTAATATCTTACATGGTTCTCAACTACTATCAAAACTATTCATTCAAATTTAGACTAAGGTTTTTATAAGCAGTGGGATTCGATTGCTAAGAAGCTCAATATATTTGATAACTAGTCCCTGAAGATTACTGAAATAAGCATTTCACCAATCCTGGAAAACAAAAAAGTTATGCTGAACAGAATCAACTAGTCTTCTAACCTGATAAAAACTATCATTTTAAAGCATACTGCAAACCGCCTGCTAATGAATGGCAACCAATTTTAATTTGGAAATATGTGTCACTCAACAAAAGTAAATTTAAAAGAGAATGTACTAACTTTGATCGAGGCATCTTCACTTGCCGAGACAAAAACATTGTAGTGTGGATGAAAGAGTACACGAGTTACCGGAGAACGATGACCTGTAAGTGTAAACTTGGCTGGAGGTCTCGGAATAGCATCTACATCACGTCGATCACTCCTGTCTGAAAGACCACTTCCAGGTGCAGCACCTACTATACCAAAACCAACGGCATTTTGCATGGACTGAAACTCTTTCTCAGCCTCGTTAAGCTTAGCTTCTAAATCCATGACCTAGAACAAAGTAAAAAGTCTAGCGAGACCATAAAACTAAAATCTGACAGCTGATTTACTGCTTAGTAATAGGATATATCATACACACTTCGTGAATCAAACCTCCCTACCAAAGTTATTTAACAACAACCAAAATGAATCATACGAATGTTATTTTTTCTGGGATTTAAAATTAACCCACGACACTTGGAGAAACAGATGACTGGGATACATTGGTACCCAGACAAATAAACAGTAAACCACAAGACGACATTTCTTGCTAAGTCGTAAGGGTAAATTTTTAATTTTGTATTAACTAGTACATTACACCATAACTTAATAGCTGAAGGCCACGGGTTCGAACCAATATCCTATGCTCGATTGCATATTATCAACTTCAAAAACAATTAACGTCACAAGCGACAATAAATACCATACAAACTAATGACTTGTATGTATTGATGTCGCAGCGTTCGGCTCCGCTTAGACTGACCTTTTGGTTCTTAGTGAATTTACCAAGGTTCACGTGGAACGGATCCGAAAATTTTATGAATGGAACACCACAGCACTTACATTTCCATCAGTTGAAAAGTTATGTTGGGCTAAATTCCACTACTACTTGTAACCCTCAAATGCCTTGATACGGCTGAGGATGGGTGGAGTCAACTCTCCCTCTCGAAATGCTTTCACATGGTCACGCGTAGACAGCTACTGCCAGGGAAATCCTACTCACTACCTTCTCGAGAAGGGAGCGTTGTTTACGAAATTGAGAGGACACAAAGTGAATGTCCGACACCTTTACCGGGTCGGTGGATATGGAGGATCCACCAAGTGGAGTTGGAAAACCCTGATTCCAAACAAATGATGTACATGGGCTCCAGTATCCTGAGGGAACAAATGGCATATGGTCATCGGCTACCATGGGACTGCATCTCTTAATGTTGCTCCATTGCCTTGTGGATTAGACCTGTAGGTCGAAGGCTTCGGGAATGGCCCCATAAGAATACTACCTACTTCGGGCTGGGCAGCCGGGCAGTATCACAGCCCACATACAAATCAAGTGACTTGTAGTAGTAAAGCCTCTAATTATTGGTTATGATGGGTACACGCGATCCAACCAGGTGGTTCATACTCATCATGGCTAAGTCCAAAAGCCAGTGACTCCGTGGACTGATGTAGCGTTTGCGCCTGGCCACCCTTAGCTTTCGTCCAGGCTACTCCTGTGCTAGATAGCATCTCACGTTGAGGTAAATAACGACTGCTGCTTTTAGCCTTACCGTTCTCCAGTCGACCTGTCTGGCATGATAGGACCTAAAAAGAACATCTGTTCCAGCCTAAATAGTTCGGTTGAATCATCGCGACAGGCAGGCCCGACAACCACGTCAAAATAGCAGCTAAGGTCAGGTAGCAAGACCTCAGTTTATGTCAGTTTTCTAGACATCTTATTATTATTCACACCATACATTTAAAGTGGTAAATTTGTCAATATTTGGAGTTCGAACATTCTCATTAGTCGGGAGGTTATTGAATCAACTCTATTCTGGAGTTAAAAGCTCTGAAATAACCCGCATGTTCATACTTAAGACTCGTCATTTATATGTACACCTGCATCTCAGACTTGATCACTTTTAGACTCCAACTCCTCGTAAAAGAGCATAGGCCGCCTACCATCATTCTCCATCCAATTCTGACCTGAAACATCCTCTCCAGTCGCTATTCATTTTTCTCATGTCTACTTCCAATTCATGGTTCAGTGTGCTCTTTGGCCCTACTCTTTTCCGTTTCCCTTCAGGATTCCAAGTAAGCGCTTGCATCGTGATGCACTTGGGTGATTTCTGTAATGTATGTCTTATCCACTTCCAGCGTATTTCCCCGATTTCTTCTTCAGTTGGAAGCTGGTTTGTTCTTTCCCACGGTAGGCTGTTGCTGATGGTATTTGGTCAAAGAACATTCAGTATCTTGAGTAGACAATTGTTTATAAATACTTGTAACTTTTTGATGATGGTTGTAGTAGCAGTCGAAGTTTGATTTCCGTACAGTGGAAATGTCTTGACGTTCGTATTGAAGATTCTGAATTTGATATTGGTTGACAGTTGTTTTGAGTTCCTTGCCTTTACGTCTGCATCCGATCCTCCTCGTTCACCGATGATGCTGCTGACCGAGTACATGGAAGTTTCCACCTGTTCCAGAGCTTCTCCATCAAGTGTGCTTGAGTTGGTGTTCTCCGTGTTGTATTCAAGGATGCTGCCTTTCCCTTGTGTATGTTGAGGCTTCTGCCACAGTGGCTGTTTTGACCTGCATTTGTCTGTTTGTACGGGATAGAAAAGCTAGGTCATCTGAAAAGTTCGAATCGTCTAGTTACATCCAATCTGTTGATTGTATTCCATGCTTTTCCCCGGATGTCGAGGTGTTCATAATCCAGTCGACCGCCAGAACAAAGAGAAAAGACGATAGTACGAAGCCTTGTCTGACATTGGTCCTTAATTGAAATGCATCTGTCAGGTGTCCTCCATGCACCACTTTGCAGTGTAGTCCGTCGTGTGAATTCCGGATGATGTCGACAATCTCCTCAAGTTCACCGTAGTATCGGAGAAGTTTCCATAAGGTTCTCCTATCCACTCAGTCAAACGCCTTCTCATAGTCAAGGAAGTTGATGTATGGTGACGAGTTCCATTCAATTGATTGTTCAACGATGATCCGTAGTGTCGCGATTCGATCTGTGCACGACCGGTTCTTACGGAATCCGGCCTGTTGATCTTGAAGCTGGGTGTCTACTGAAATTTTTATTCGGTTCAGCGACACTCAACGAAAAACGTTTTCTGGTACCGATAGTAGTGTGATGCCTCTGTAGCTGAATTCTCACATTTGTTCAGATCTTTGATGTATTGATGATGTGTCTTTCTTCCCAGTCTGTCGGCACTTGTTCTTCCTCCCAAATCTTCCTGAATAGAACGTGAAGTATGTGTGACTTTAGTTGCTAACTTGACGTGGTGGTCGGGGGTGCCTACCGTAATGAAGCAACTGAGCTATGCTGTCTGGAACAACCGCTCCTCAAGGTCCTACCATGCCAGACAGGCCGGTTGAAGAGCAATAAGACTAAAAGCAACAAAACCAAGGTCAGAAGGCGAAGTCGTACTGCTGACTGTACAGAGCTGTGACAGCAGTAAGGTGTTTCCTTCAGACAACCAGCATGACAGCGATGCTGCCTTTCCGCAAGGGGGACGGGGTTAGAAAAGGTCGATCCTAAAAATACACACCTCGCCTTATCTCACGGATATCCGTCTCCGGCGGTAAAGTCTCAACAAGTACGGAGCTAACACAAAAGCTACTCATAAAAAGGTCGTGTGTGACCAACGTTAAGCAGCTGTCCTTGAGCACTGCGGTCACGCTCTCAGGTCACTATGACCACCTCTAACCCAATTTCCTTTTCAGGTACCTCCATGAGAACCCTTCCACGGTGTGGGCAACCGGGAAGTGATAACCGTCCTCATACCTCTAACAGCACTCAAGACCACTGACTGGCTTTAGTGCTTCGGTTTGTATATTGTCAGGTCATGCTGCTTTCCCAGTGTTGATTTGTCTGATTACCACCCTGATCTCTTCGATCGTTGGTGGAGTGACATCTGTAGGGAGGTCTGTGTGTGTGTGTTGTTTCGATGTCCGGTAGGTTCAATGTGGTTGGTCCATTCAAGAGATTTTCAAAGTGATCCACCCATCTGTTTCTCTGTTATTGAATATCAGTGATTAGCTTTCCTTCTTTGTCCTTGGCTGAACACTATGGTTTACTATACTTCCCTGTCGGTTTATTCATCGTGTCATTTAATTGTTTCCTATTTCCTTCTCTTGCGGCTTTTTCCGCTAAGCCTTCCACATATTTCTACTTGTCGCCTCTAATGCTCTTCTCCATTTGCTCGTTTGCTTTGGTGTATTCGGCTTGTGTTTTAACTTTCTCTGTTCTTGTTTGGCTGTTGTTAATTGCTGTCTTCTTGTTCTTCCTTTCGTAAATCTTGTCCAGGGTTTCCATAGAGATTGATTCCTTATGTTGATACTTATGTGTTACGAAGAACACTTATGTACTTATTTAAAGTGATAACTTTCCTACTGCTCTATAGTTACAGTCGACAGTGTCAACGGACATAACCGTAAGTGAAGCTTCAATTAACTGGTTGTGCCAAAGCATGTCATTCAGACATCGTTGTAACTTCTTTTGTTCATTATACTTCAGAATTCACAGGAAGATTATTTTGATTCTCAATAGCCGAGCAGACGTGGCTAAACGAAGTAATCCGTATAATGTTTTTTATGTTCAACTTACTTTTCAATAAGCATTATTTTAAAAAGGAGCTTACTTTCTTACTTACATGGGAAGCTATTTAAGTGTTAAGAAAGCGTGTTTGATTTTCAGTAAACTTGCAATTAAATACACATGTCTTATTAATAATACATCACTTGTTTCTTCTTTTGCAGATTTTTTCAAGTAACAATGAATTGGCAATTACAATGAAAATGCATAACGGTTGATGCTCAAGCTTCTGCTCTAATGTATAATAATACGCTTTTCCTTTTCAATAAATTTATTTGATTATATACCATCTTCTCAGTGAATCGCACTTTTATTTTGGTTTTTTGTGGGAATAAAGGTGAACATAGGAGACCTTTGGGGTTATACCTATAGTGTTTTAAAAGTTGGAGCAAAAGTAGACAATTCGGCGACATTTAAGAGACGGAGAGACAAAAAGAAGAAAATCCGCATTATTTCCTCCGGACAGGCGAAAAAATAGACAGTATGACGCGTTTCTCCTTCATTTTCCAACGCATTTTACCCATTATTTCCCCTTTGTTGGTTGATTGAGACTAAACGAAATTGCTTTGCCTGTTAGTCTAATCGATGAGTATATCAGTGATCATACTTCACCACAGCTACTTAGAGGCAGATTCGGGGAAACAAATTGTTATCTTGTTTAGCTAAATCAGGTTAAATTTGGATTTGATTGAAGCTAGATGTTGCACGGCGCGATATTTCGCTGTGCTCGTCACTCAAAGGTGGTTAGGACGTCTGCGAGTCCTTATTTAATTGACTTGCTTTAGCTCAGAGTAATCCGACTCATTTTTTCTACTAAATTTAAATGTTCTAAGTATCGAATTTTGGCGGGGGTTTTACAACTACAACTTGCCTAATCACTTTATAGTGATTAGCATATGCTATCTACTTACTAGGCTGAATTGCAATAAGCTTCTAACAACGAGCTTATGGTTTCCTACGGAAAGCCATTTCCTGTTACTCGGGTATTTTAGATTTTAGTCAGAGATTTCAGGGCCTCAAAACACAATTAGCTGCAGCATACCTTTTCGTGGTTTTGCCAGTGGCGTTTAAATAGTAAATACTTTGTCATTACAGTGGTGGAAATAAACATTTGGGAAGCGAGTGGTTTGCGACGTTCGCGTTGAGTACATGTTGTTCAAAAGATCTTTTAAGCTAATATATGGAGTAGTTACGACTAAATTTTCGTCTGTTCCAACCTAATAACTTAGCTCGTTTTCTACATGATTTTGGGCGAATTTCTTGGAGAAATTTAGACCTAGATGAGTTTTGAAAAAAACTACGGTCTCGTTTTAACCATGGGAAAAGTCGCATTTCGGGGTAAATCTTGTCACATTTTCACAAAATTCACCCAACATTTTCTATGGGACTGTAACAAAATTGCCATAACTTGGTTAGTTCTGTCGATAAGTTGGAAGGTTGAGGTTGGAATTCGAAATTGAGATACTTCTTGTGGTTAAATTTTTTTCTCAAATTGGTACGAGCTTTCCTACCAATTAATCAGATGACTTGAATGTGTAGATAGCAGTCTTGTTGATCAAAGACGGACATCACACAGCTTTCTAAATAATTTAACCGAAAGTGCAAATATGAATTACTGTGGACGCTTTGTCGCTGAGCCAGAAAGTTATGCTCACCAAAAATCTGAAGTGTCAAAGTTTATCGTACAATTCCTTCCCTCAGTTTAAAATTTTGCTTTAGAATTTACATGAACTCAGTTTGACATCTAATAATAAAGTGGTTAATTCGACTGACCGCTTCACTTAATTTAGGAATTTCATCAGCTTTGATAAGTTGCTTGCTAACAAAATCTCAGCGGAGATACACGAAGGTGCGAAGAAATTTTAGACACATTTTTGGTGGTAGATGTATTTTATATTATTGGACTAGATGAATCGGTTAACTGGTCATAAGGTGGATTCCGACACAAATACCTATGAGCCCGTGTGGCAATGCAACGAATGAATCTCAGAATAAACGTGGCTTGCTATCTCAGAGTAGTGAAAAGCCCTAATATTTCTGTCTCTTGATTTGTATTGTCGTCCACTTCTGTATCTTATGATAACTGCTCCTTACACCGTAGTTATGCGATTAGGTCCCAGGATTGTATTTTATATTTTAGTTTTTGCTGGGTTTCGAAATAAAAATTTTAGATCTATATCGAAGTATTATTCTGTAGTAATTCAGGTTGAATAATATCTCCATCTATTCCAGTGATTTTTCGTGACAATCTTAACGTCAAACTTACAACTAAACTCATGTCTCTCCTTAATGATGGAAAAGGTGAGGCTTCTCAAACTTGTCCTACTGAGCAATCTATAATTCAAGCCTGGGAACGTCAACAGGATGTTCACTTAACTAATCCTCATTTGGATATGTTAGATGCTTGGTCTTCAGATGGTGGTAGTATTTCTTCATCTTCCTCTTACCTTTCTGATGATCACTGTATGGAACCCGAGAATCTTACTTTATCCTCTATACCTTTATGTGAACCAACAGAAGAAAAACATCTTAATTCTATTAAAGATACGCACAAGTTTTCACATCCTCAAAAGTATCCGCTTCATTACCTGAAGTACGTACATTTATCTTGTTTGGTTTTGCCTTAAGACCAGTGTCCGTTATGATAAATGTAAATCATTTTTTGTGTAGAAACAGAATATTCATATTAACTGACAAATAATTACATAAACCTCAGCTTTGATAAAAATGTATTGCGTTTTGTTTGACCAGCCAGATTGTACCACTGACTTTCACCATGTGGTTCGAATCATATTACTTAGATTCTGGTTTGAACTACTGTATTTTAAATTACAACTTACCGATATAGTAATGCTACGTTAGTAAAAATGCTAGAATTTTTCGAATTATATCCACTCATCGACAAAATTATTTGTTCAGTGAATAATCATCTATACCGACATTTTACGCGCAAAAGGCACAAACTACTAAAAACTGTAACTGATCAACAAAACCTCAAGGTCATATCGTTCCTTGTTTTTTAATCATATCATGTTTTTGATGTGCAAATACTCAATTGGTCTGATGGTCAGGTTCAATCATCATACTAATATATCCAGGCCAGTAAACAAAATCTCACTTTTGTGGTCCTGTTGTACTACACAAAGGTGAGAAGCGTCACAACCTAAAACAGAGAATGTGTCAATTTGCTGACTCTTCATCCCAGCCAACCAAAATTACCAGCGATACTGCCTTGAGATATTTCGAGAGATCCTTAAATAAGTTCACCCTACCTTACTGTCCATGCTTTTTAAGACGGTGAAAATGTTATTAAAAACTATCAAAAACAATAAAATCAAGTATTTGAAAAACATTACCCCAAGAAGATGTTTCCCGGAATGTGATGACATGATCTAAGAAACCCAAAAAACAAACGTGCATAAATAGCGTTCGGTGTGGCTAGAGCTAAATTACAAAGAGGAATATCGATAAAAAGTAGACATCAACAGTCGTGGTAAACCACAACTTATGAGAGCGAAGACTCACAACAATGGTTAAATATACTCTTGTTATTGACAACAGTTACCGGAAGCGAGTTTGACGTATGTCTTTCACTACTACTGAGGATTATTATCAGGTTGTAATAGTTAGGGTCATAACTATTTTACTCAAAACCGGATTTAAATACTAGGCAATTTTTGTCGTTGATCATTTTTTTATATCGGACAATATGAAGTTCCTCTTGCATTGTACCATCAGTCTTACGCACCTCCTTGGTGGTTTCAACTTCATTAATTGACGAAAGCGAACATTTGGCTTTTTTAGCCTATCTACTACATATAATGGTGTAGGTCCATGGCAAATTGTGGTTTAGCGATTTCTGAAAGTTTTCCTTCCTGATAAACTTGTAAGTAATGCTTACAAAGAGAAATATGCTTGTACTGTGAGCAAAGTTTTTAGCGCTTGTGATTTGTTTTTCTGTTGGTTACCGTAGGTTTTGTAATTTACATATTAATTTATAAACTACATTTCATTTTATCCACAAGTTATGACCAGTATTTATGTCGTTGTTTAAAGGGGATTGTTGCAGAACTTTATTGTATATTGCTTTCATCAAAGCATCACTCAATATTTTCACAGCATTTTTTTATGTAAAGTACACTAAGTGAGGTAGGATGGAAGTATAATCATCTTAATTTTGGTCTCAAAATATATACAATGACAGCTTGTAAAATCTAACTTCATTAATCATCCTCAAACTACCTACGTATATCTTATTTTTAAGGCTAAAATGTATCCAGTTGTCTAATTTTGGTGGCAAGAGTTTGAGGAGATCGAAGAAAAGAGAACGAGAACAGAGAATGATTGGTGAGGAAACGAAGGAACAATTAAATTTGAGACAATTGACTGATATTTTGCAAATGAGTTATTTACTGTATGGTTCTCAGATGTTACTAAGAGATTCTGTAACTTGGTGTCCGAAGAAATCGGTTGTCCCTACTGGTGTTCTTGTCCACTACAGTACCGATAAAGTTTTGGCTTGCTTACAATTTATGTAGTGAAATAATTATATGATTTTAAGAAATATGTATGTTTATTGATAGCTGACAAACGAATATGCAGGAAAATAGTCTTTTTTGATATAGATTGACCAAACTAAAGGTAAATCACTCACTTCATTAATTAAGTGCTCATTTTGTAGATATTTTTTCTTTGAACAGATCTGCTGGTGTTTACACTGGTAAGGAAGTTATCGACCTGGCTATCGATCGTTGGGAGTCGTATAAGAACCTATGTCATCAAGCTCTATACGTTTTGAGACAACAACTTGTTGATGCCTATGTTCCTTATGCCATAGAGGAGAGTAAAGCTAGTTCAACCAAATCAGTATTAAATAAAGCAAGTATGTTGATGTTTAACTTCATTTGCTTTCTACTTAGAATCAAAGTAATCAGCTAAAAATTAAAAACACTCCGTTACTTCTTACAGCCATAAAACATATTAAAAGTATTCAATACGGATACCTTTGATTAATATTGTCGTCGGCGATTTGATAGTATGTGATGAGAAATCGAGCAAGGAATTTAATGCAACTATATTGATACGTTTGGGAAACTAATTATCTTTGATTCGAAGAAGGAATGTTTCATTTACTACAAGGCTCCCACATCAATGTTGAATGCAAGAGTGTAGTATTTTAGAATGTTTGTTGATGAACCAGATGCCAAAGTATAAAATCAACTGTTGTTAATCAAAGTTTTACATGAGTGTCCAACTTTCATGTATTTATTATTATGAGATTGTGGAGATTGTTGAATCCCACTGAATTCACGAGTCGATCTAAGTTAAACATGTACTTCATTGGACCCTGTCTCAGTAGTCTGAAGGTTAAGCGTTCGTGCGCGATTCCAAAGGTGTCGGCTGCGGGGTCATGGATACGCTCTGCTGAGAGGACCCATACTGAAACTAAACGACCTTTCAATGCTCACAGGTTTTTAATGGTTGTCTCACTTGGATTTATTCATGATCTCAATCAAATTCCCTGTACTTGGTCTGTAAGATAACGGTTATTTGTATCTTAGGCTTTTGTCAAGTATTTTTGCGGCTCTGTTGTACTTTACATATCAGACAACTTTCGTCTTAACGTTCACATATTGCTTTTATTATAGCGTCATTTTCATTCCTTTACACTGTTAATTCTTAGTGTTTTCTTATCGAAGTAATGTAGCTATCCATGTACCGAAAGAAAGCTAATCTATCCCGATCATTCATATTATATTTAAAATAGACCATATGACCTTACCAAACAATTTTCTCACCTCTCACTACTTCGTTGTTATTATCTACAAATCTCGTCGTTTCGTTATAGTTGAAGGTAAAGTGAAAGCGTTTATTAACTGTGAACTATGAACTTCCTGAGTATGTCTGGGAATAGCATTTATGCAAACTATAAACAACCTGTTACCAGACTAGAATGGTCATAACCAGATCTAAGATATATTCTCATATACACGCAGGTGGGTTTCAGTATAACAAATAGGAGTTTATGAAATAGAGAATTATCCTTACTCTATGTACCAATTCCCATAACTAGTGAATTACTGCAATTAAGTGTTTAGAAGTTATTGGTGGCTTTTGGTGTTTTCTATGTGTTTCCGTCTATCTAAATGCACAGAAACTGTTTTGTAACCTAGGCAATGCTGAAAGGTAAGTAAATGATAGTACCTGAGTCTAGGTGACTAGAATGTTATTTACAAAATTTTGGTCAATATTAGAACTTCCTTGTAGAGACTGGTTACGTAATATTCAATTACTAATTGAGCAAGGTATTAAAGCTGATAAACCAGGGTGTAAGTAGCTCTAGGCAGAGTCTGCAAGTGAAGACATTATATGTTGGGGTTCCGAAATGTATTTCTTGTATAATCTTCACTGAAGACGAATAAGGTTTGTGGTAGCGTGTTTGTAGAGATTTGACAAACTAGAAGCACTGAGTATCGCCTTTCCTGTTTATTTTGGTATGAATTTTACGAATAGTTTTCTGCATATACACCGTATCATACCATACATTCCGTTCATCAAATTTTCTTAAACTAGAAATTTAATGCATCCCATCTTTCACATAAACCTTTATCATCTGAAACGTCCTAAAGCTCCTTGATATAAGGGTATCCCACTTATTAAGTACTTTTCTAATCTCAACTGACGTATTATTGAGCAAGCTGTTTACTATATTGATTCATTAAGTTAGGTCACATTTACTGCTTCATAAGATTCTTATGGATTCTACGAAAGAATTTTCTTTAGTAGTTATTCACCTTTCGAATTCTGTTCATTTAATGACGAACTAAACCTATAAATCAGCTTCTATCTGTGTTATAGGCTGTTTAAAAAGTTTTCACCAAGAGTTTATATTAGTTTTCAGTAGTATCAGTACTTGTTACATCCGAACGAACAATAAATGAATATTATTTATGGACTGTTATTACAGATATTCTTATTGGATAATTATTAAGTAACTAGATTATATATGTGTTCATAAGCTTTCATTTAATCTACTGGATGCTGTTATACGATTTATCATCCTTAACTTACTCCCAGTTTATTAATTACATTGTCTAATACTCGCAACCACTTTTGGCTTAATCTTTTACAATTGTCACTTGTCATTTTGTGATGTGATGGAGTTTAATCTGCTTGTATATAAACCATGTATGTCTGAAATATACGATTCACACAGTGGAGGCTGATATTGTGTTCTGGACTGGACCGGCTGAGTTAGGCGAGAAGTTGCTATACGGAGGATTAATAAGGACTCAATGTTGACTCAAGACTGCTCGTGCTGGCTAACACACCATTGGTTTAGCATGGAGAGAAGGTCATATAAGTCGGTATTTTGATTGGAGACTTTGTTACGCGGTAATTGACAGGGCCATAAGTCATAACAGTGTTATTATTAAATATTTGATCTATTTTCAGTTCAATAAACAGAGAAAGATATGTAGTCGATTTGTTCCGAATACACAGTTGAATTGAGCTATTCTGTGAAATGACCCTGATTCTTTTGCCTTCCTTATTACTCTGTCAATAGTTTTATCTTGTATAGTTGTTTATCGCCAGTAAATAGAGAACGCCTCATTTCTAACTTTGAATGAGTATATCTTTCGTAATTTTACATAGAGTTCATGATAATTTTAACTTAAACTTGTCTGATGTATATTTTTGTGCACGAGGTAGATATTGTGTAACTTCATAATTTATCAGTAATAATGATAATAATTTGTTCTCATTTATTAGATACAGTATCTACTTTACCAGGTCGTAGTCAACTTAGACAACGTGCTGCTCAGAAAATGTTGCGTCACTCTGTTAAGGTAATTTTCAATTTGTCCCTATTTTCAATGAATGTATACTGAAATATACACTAAATCATAGAAATCACATTTTTCAATATATTCGCTGATATAAGATATAGTTATGGTAGGAACTTCTACTGTTAGTAGCGTTCCCTTAGTTTAATTCATTTATAATTGGTTGTTTCAATCTTCTCATCGATGTTTAGGATCACAATTGATTAATTTTCCTTAGCTAACGTGCGTCCTGTGCGAATTGCCTCGATATTACGATTAAGTCACAAGCATTTTAAGCATAAATAGACTGTGGCTAACAGTGCGAACCGGGACATGCGTTTCGTTCTATTTGATACTCTTCAGCTGGGTGTACCAGCATTTCAGGGTTAATTTTAACTTCGGGATACTCCTGCACAAGCCAATAGCTATTTAAACTCAGTAGTCAAGCGAACAACGCGTTGGCGTTTAAAGCGAAAGGTTTCAAGTTGGAATCCTAGAGTGAACACCAACTTTGGAATACAGGTACACTCAGCTGACGAGCCTTAAGTGGGACGGATCGCGCATCCTGGATTCCATTGCTAGCCACCACTTATTTCCTTAGTTTGCCATAATAGTCTTTATTTGGAATTTTCCTGTTACTGTTGAAACTAATTATAATTTGTTTTTTACTTGGAACTCGATAGGAAATTATTTAAGGTAATTGTGATAATCACTTTTATCACCTTGTTCATATTACAATAATTTGAAATCACCTATGAACTAGACGGGGTCGTTTGTTGTTATCCCAGTTTATATTTCTATCTTACATCAATGATAGGTGTCTCGTTTTTTTGAATATCTTTCCGTAGGTTAAAAATTCACCAGTTAGATTTTGGTGGCCCTGTATCTGATTGGTTAGATCGTATGCTGATTGTCATCGAAATATGCATCCCGGCCGCCCTCGTATATAATCACCGACTTAGCTCGTGTTAGGGAATAACAGAATTAAATAAGTCAAATACGAGAAGGAATTTCTAATACCTATGTTTCACACAATCGTCGATCTGGACAGACAATCAGGGAAATGGAGCGAAGAGTGGAGAGTAAAACAAAACGAATCAGAGAGGGCATGTGAGCCAACTCGATTTGATCAAACGTGACTCAATATTTATAATCAAACTAAAATAAGTTACAGACACATGATGAGTAGGGTAAGTAGTTGACACACGATCATATAAAAAGCAGTTAGGGTTAATAAGCGGACAAGTTACAGGGTAAATAGATGGCTTGAGAAGCATGAATAGACTGGTCTGTACAAAGGCTAGAATAACTTATACGACCTTGAAATAGTACCAGACACTACAAGCTGTTGTCAGAAATACCAACTGACACGTATCAATATTTTGGGAGTGTCATGTGCTCAATAGATTTGATGATATAATATTTAAAGCACTTCTTATTCGATGTTTGTTGATAAATACTAAGGATATTAGAGACGGAGATTTCTATTTAATAGCTCTCAACTATTTGCACTTTATATGGTAAGTGGTTTGCAAGTGAATCCAAATAAAGTAGAGATAGATAGTGGTTAGCAGTAGAATCCAGAATGCACATTTCGACCTGTTTGATACTCAGCTCGATGTACCTGCATACCAAAGTTGACGTCCACTCCGAGACTGGAACTCAGTACCGTTCGCTTCGAATACTACCGCATTTTTCACTTAGCTCTTACCTTGTGCGATGGGGTGAATTTTAATTCGTTTGTATTAGTTTTTTGGATCTTCCCGTTGTTTCTTAGGACTGCAATTAATCAGTCTTTTGTGATTTAATGACAATAACGAGGCAATCCACACAGATTGTACATATGCCAAAAGACACTGGTCAATTAGTCCTAAACAACAATGGGCAGATTTGAACAACCAATGTATATGAATTAGAATCTAAATAAACGTGATATAAACTTTAGGTATTTTAATCGACTAACTACAGATAAAATTGAGTAAAACATTAATTAACAGTTAATATTAGTATAAATGTCAAAAGGTTCTAATAATTAGTTTCCAAATATACATAGACTGTATAGAATTTTAAACGATAATATATTAGCTTTTAATATTCAATCAAAGACTGGATGCATTTCATACTTCGGTAAACAAATACATAAATCTGTTTAGTTTATGTTATGACCTTATAAGAATAATGAAATGTTTAATATATCACGGATTTTGTCTTATTAGCACATTGTTTTTACATTCTTTTCATTTCTTTTGTAGACTGCGAATCAGAGACATTTAGCCTGTGTATCTAAATTTGCTATAGTTAGTAATCGTATAGCAAAATGGCGTAGGCCACCTAGTGCAAGTCAGCAATGTCGTTTTCGTGATCCTACAACAACAACGTGGGAAAAACATTGTACAAATGCATGTGTCCCTCTGTTACCTGTATGCTCTTATCATTTAGTTCAAATGAGACCTGCACCAGACTACGATAAAAATTCATCAAATGAACAAAAACTATCAATTGATGAGTCGAATTCAAATGGCTACAGTGAACATGTTAATGTTAAATCTGAAAATCCAATAATCGAATGTCATGTCAATAGTGATAATACTACAGTTGATGTCAAATCATCAAATATTTCACCTAATACAACCATTTCAAATAGTCATAATTGTAATCCATCATTATACAATGAATTTTCCACATCAAATTTTAATAAATCAATGAAATTCGATGATCATATCACTAAATCACATTCTTCACGTTTAAACCGTAGTAGCAAAGGACATTCCGATCAGCCCTGTGTAAGTAATCCTATTTCTCCAACTTTGCAGATTTCACCACAAGTAAGTGAAACTTTCTATCTTTTTATGAATATTTTACGTAGAACTTCGTTGAAATTTAAATAGATAGTTTCACAAAAACTGGACATTGAATACATCCAATCCTTTAGATGTAAAATACATATTTGTAACTATTTAAGTAACTGTAGTTACAACTTTTCGTCCATTAATCTAGTCTGTGTTTCTTTAAGGAAGTGCAATTTACAAAGATAAATAAAGTCAAATTACGAAGTTTATGCCAAACAATTAACCGTTCATGATCACATGCTGAGTTTGATTTATAAATATGGGTCAGTTTAGCGTTCTACATGACGTTGTGCTTGTTCTTATTTAAATTCATTCTTATCGTATTGGCTAACCATGTAAGCGTGTTTTGAATGCACTTCTCACTCTAATTGAAAAACGTCCTTCGACTGGTTTACGTTAATTACTGAACCAATCATACGAAATGAAGTAGTTAAGATAAGGACGGTCAAATCGAAACGTAGCACCAGTTTTTGAAGTCATGACTTCATATGAGCTATGTTGGTAGATGCAGGCTACATGACCGTGTTCTAGGTGTTGACCACGTTCAGTTGTTGGCGATGCTAGGTGACATAACCCAGAATCGGTCACAGCGGCACAGGTGCATTCACTCTTTATGTTCCTTTAAATCTTAAGTTCCAGTCTTCATCTGTATATTCCTTTTAATAATAATTTTTTGTAGTATATTCTCGATCTTTAGGATTTCTGATTGGCGTTGCTACTACACTATTTCAGTTGCTTTACTATTCATCTTGTTTATTTCATCACGTCGTGTTATTGTGATGTGGGAGTTTTGGGTCAGTGCACATCTACTCCACGCTCTATGTTGATTGTGGCGGACTGATAATTGAAATTCAACTTCTGTATAAGGCTGGGTATTCGAATGAATGGTAAACTAAAAATCGATAGAAAAATTACTCAGGACCTAATTTATCTCAGTTACTAAGATTATTAAAAATGCGATTTTATACCTAATACTTACATTAATTTACTACAGATTAAAAAAAGCGGATTTGAGTTGCTATTATTATCTTATTTTTAGGAAAACGATGAATTGTTTAAATTCTAGAAAACACCATAGCATTATAAACTATCGTTTTTTTGAACACGGATTTGTTTAGATTTATCGGTGCGGTGAATAATTGAATGTTTTACTATTTTTGTGACTAAAGTGGTTTTTTTTGCATTGAAGGTGGGAAGTGGGTTATCAGTATAGATGTTTTTTTGTTCGTATACAATATTTTTCTAACTACTTTTCACATTCTTCTTTCAACTAAACTAAATATCTGGTACGTATATACGTTGATTCAATTTATTATATCTTCGTTTTTTACAAGCGGTGAGTAATGTCGCAGAACGATAAATTAACTTATGAGAATGGTTTATAAGGAATATTTAAATATCGAATCCTGGTATGTATCTGCAAAAGTAACGCAAATGCATAGTTCAATAACATTGAAAAGTTTTAGATATTTAGCTTGCTATTATTTAACTCTGTTGACCGACAGGTTTTGTGGTGGACCTTTTCATTGTAAGGTGTACAAAAGTTGTACATAGGCTTTCACTAGATCAGTATGATCGATGTAGAGCTTATGGCTATTTATCATTGGGATAGGGAACTTTAATCGGCGTTTTTGAGTACTAAGCACTTTTTGTTTTCGTTTAGTTTCATCATAAAAGTTCTAGAAATTACTCATCTAAGTTTCGATTAATTGTTTTCCTTTCAGGAAACCCACTTGTCTAATTGGAGCTTGTTGATAATATATATTTGCTAACAAAATCCAGAGCCTTCTAAACGCCTAAAGTAACACTAGAAATGTCTGGGATGCAGTTCTCTCCCTTTGATCTCAAAACTTTGCTTTGAGTCCTAAACTGGTCATAGTGAGTGAATTAATTAAACGCGCTGACCACCCCACTTATTTTTGAGGTCTCATTAGCTTTGTGGATGTTGTTTTTGACCAAATATCTGAGTGAACATAGTGAGTTCACCTGGTTTTTAATAACCTGTCTTACCTAATAGCACCGGCCAAATGCTCGCCTGTGAATTAAGGGGAACCGCATTACACACCATTCTACTCTATATTGCTCTTTACACGTGAAAAATGTTCCGTTTAAGTAGAAATCATATGTAGCCTGTAATTACTTTATCATATATCGCCGAGAAATCGATCGCGTATCGTCAAACAATTGAGTGGATAATACTAAGATTAAACATAGGGTACTAGGTGAAGATTGAAAATCGATTGACTAGGCTATGAATTATCAACTGATATGTTTATGGGCCAAATTACGCATGCCAAACCACCACTGCTCTGGCAATCAAAGGTTGCTGGTGTAGGAGTGTAGGTATGAAAAAAGCTGGGGGTAGTTAAATCAAGATTTGAAATTCGTTCACAAGGTCAATGACTTGTACTGAGTTGTGTTGGTAGGTGCATATCACTTGATCTTGGCCGGCAGAATAACAGCAGCCAATAGTTGTGGGTATTGCGTAAGATAAATCACAATCGATAATAGTGACGCAATTTTATTTACTCTTTATCCCTCTTTGCATCATCCAGTTACAATATTCTTTCGTACCTTACTTCTTTCCGTTTTTTTCTGACCATATTTCCAAAGTTTAGTTGTTCACACTATTCCTCTTGTATCCACTCTTTTACTATCCATCTTATTAATTTCGGGTTATCTCAGTTGCTGATAAACTCGAAATATAACAAGTAGGTTACAAGTTTGAACTATAGTCTGTTTAGTTTTATTTAAGAAGCCAGGTAGTGTCACTAGCCTAAACCGTAAATCTGTGCATCTAAATACTTAATTTCCCACTGAGCTATATTGACTTTTAAATAATAAAGTAGTTTAGCATTAGGATAATTTTACCGGTTTTCATTAAAACATAATAAGCAATTATACACTAAATCATTGTAAATTAATGCATATATATATATATATAACTTATAAATTGATATATCTTGTTTTACTTTTCTTATTCGCTTGTGTTTTCTCGTTTATTTAGTATTTATTTCGTCGTTGTGGTGGTGGGTCATCTCAAAATTGTTCAGAACCGGTCATTGCATGGAATCCTTTCATTCGTTGTATGTATCATTCTACCATTACATCAGTTTGTACCAGTACAAATTCTCTTACGGATGTAAAAACTTCCGCAAAAGATGTATCATCATAAGGATATTGGATCATCAGTATAATGGATGTTTGTTTTTTCAAACTAATAATCATAACTTTTTTGCTTTTAAATACGATATCTTTGTTCATTATTCCTTTGTTATCATATGTTCCATCATTTATACATTATAATATACAAATATATTCCATCTATCTCTGTTTTTGTATTCTAATATTTATGTCTATATCAAAAAGTTTTACTGTCTTTAACAGTCGAAATTAAATCCTATACTTATTCAATGTGTATCTATGTATATTATTTTAGATGAATGGTACCGGTGTTTTCATTGTTAGCGCATTACGTAGTCCTATCGGTCGAATGTCTGGTTGTTTATCCGGTTTATCAGCTCATCAATTAGGCGGTCAAGTAATTTCATCTGTATTAAATAATGTTGTGGAAAATTCAACTAATCCAAAAGAATTAAAAAATCACATTATGGAACATTTGGAAGAAGTGATTCTTGGTCAAGTGTTGACAACATCTACTGGACAGAATCCTGCTAGACAAGCTGCTATATTAGCAGGTATATATATATATATATATATATATATATATATATATATATATATATCACTATTTTCAGATATATGATTGTATTTGAGCTTTAAATAAGTAGACAATTCCTCGTCTAGTGATAAGGTCCTTTCATAATGAACATTCGTTGCTCAAGTGGGTAATTTTGATGAAGCTTCATTCTCTGAACTAGATGGTTTAGTCGTGGAGCTCTTATTGTTCTTCTAAACATCATCAGCACATACTTCAAGTAGAAGTAAAGCATTCAAGTTTCTCCACATATGACTAACAGCTTGTCCTGTCGATCTTGATCTACCCCTTTATTTTTTGATTGTATCTTCCTCTGATCTGATTCTTGGTCCTCTATATTTGTTCATGATTTTTCCAAGTAGTTGATGGATTGGATTGATTTTGATGTTTGTTGATTGCTGATTGACCTGAGTGGTTAAGCCTCTGGAAGTCCTCACATCAGAGAAATTCGGTTATTTTTTAGAATGGTAGACAAAAAAAGATTAATATACCTATTAAAATTCTGTTGAATTTTCTATTTTGTTTATTTGAACATTTTAATTGACTTTTGAAAATTTAGATTTGTTTGAATAAAGCCAAAACAAAAGTTACGGCAAAATAGTGTGATTTCATCCTCTTCTACTGTTGTTTTTACGTTATTCAAATCCATATATTTGTTTATTTGTCGACTGATAGTTAACTCATTCCCTTCCTGCTTCATATTATGTCTAACTGGCGATCACTAATGGGAAAGGTAGACTGTCTTCAATTCCTAATAAGTCTAAGCATGTATCGTAATTGTGGTGTGATCACAATTCAAGAATCCTAATTAAATGATTTATAAGATGATTCCTCAGTATCACTGAAAGATTTAAATATTTCATACACATATTTCCCTTTATAATCTTCAAAAGAGCAAGAACAAACATTCTAGCAGAATAGCATGAATTCATTTTTATTTCGTTGGTTTTCGTCAGCTGCTTACAACCTGTGATATTTAAAATAATAATTACATAATGGGTTTAAATTACATGAAAGAGTTTGGTCGAAGGTTATGTTAAAAACATATTCGTATAGTATAGCAAAGGTGTAAATAAGTTTAATAGACTGAATACTGTTAATATATATTTTATGTAAAAGAACATTGTGACAACAGTTTAAATATTTATCTTCAGGATCAATCAAGCAATAAGAAAACGAAACTTGTTGAAATACTTTGTACTGAGAATTCTATATTGTACCAAAAATATGGTATTCAATAAAGCTAATAATAATAACAATAAATAAATGATAACAATAATAAATAAATAAATATCTCTCAATTGATAATATCCGATATTTTTGGATTTTATGTAAGTAAATAATATTGAGTAATATATATTTTTTAAACACCTTGTAGGAATTCCTTATTGTGTGCCTGCTTGGAGTGTGAATATGATGTGTGGATCAGGTTTGAAATCTGTATGTTTAGGTTTTGATCGGTTAAGTCTTCCTTCCTCGGTGGATGGGGGTTGGATAATAGCTGGTGGACAAGAATCAATGAGTCAAGCGCCACATGCGACTCCTCCTAGAGCATGTCTACGTCGTGCAGGGGGTCAAAATACTTCAGAACTTCCAAATTATGGTAGTTTCACCTTACTAGATACAATTATGAATGATGCTTTAATGGATGCATTCTGTAATCTCCCTATGGGTGGGACAGCTGAAAATGTTGCAAAAAGGTAAGGAATATTTTAGCTTGATGTAGCATATTTTGAGTTATGGATAAATGATTTATTTAATTAATAATGACAACGATGTTAATTCATGTAACTTAGTGATTATACAAATGTAAACCACACTTTTTATGCTGTTTTTTGGCGTTTATCAGTAAAACATATTTATAACTTCAGATATCTTTGATATCGGTTGCTTTAATCTTTCCATAGATGTTTATGACTACAATTAATCTGCCTCTTTTAAGATCTTGTGTGGATTACCTTTGTAATGTCATTTAGTCATCAATAGGAAATTTAAACCTTTAATACAAATGAGTTAAAATTCACGCCATTGCACAAGCCAATGGTCATCTGAACTCAGAAGGTGAGTGAATAGAGCTTTGTGATTTGAAGCGGACGCTACTGGGTCCGATTCCAGAAGTGAACATCAACTCTGGTATCCAGGTGCATCAGCTGACGAGTCCTAAATAGAGAGACCCGCCCATCCTGGATTCTACTGCCAGCAGCCATCTAACCCGCCTCTCAAGTATCTTGTTTTCAATGAAAATCAAGCCTTTATAGTTTCAGTACACTAGTTTGTGGTATTCGCTGGTTATAGATATCAGTTATAATCAATGCAGGATCTGCAACAATTTTTCATTTGCTCAGGTTGCTATACCAAACGTGCACAGAGTTGAAGCAATACTAGTTTCATTGATGCTGTGAGAAACTAAACATTGCGAATGTGGTTCATAAAGAAAAATTTATGAAATTATAATAAAACTCAGAATCTAAGATATCATAAATAATGAGTGAATTTTCACCTTTCACTATATTTCAAATCAAATCATCCTGTGTTTCCAATCTCTAATCACGGTTATTCTATGGACCTCAATCCGATCCTCTGCAATTCCTTTACACTATTCAGGTTAACAGTCAGTTATATCATGGTCTAATACCACATTATGGTTTCATTACGTATGACTTTCGTCAAACCTAAGAACAACATATTTGTGTGATTGAATTAAGTACTTCAATTGATCACTACATATTAGCTAACGTCAAAATGTCTATGCTTCTTGGGAATAGTGAATTCTTTTGATTGGTTGATCACTATGTTGTTGTGTTAAAAATCGTTTACTCTACTTAGTATATCATTGTTTTCTCATCCATTTCAAACGTAATAAACTGAAGTTTTTTTATCAACTCTGTAAATCGTAAGTATGTAAACAATTGTTTACACTATCCTAGTGGACTAATTCTATTCATACATCTTAATTTAATCAAAATTTAAATGTTAATTGACTGAATACATCTCTTCTTAAAATACCTAATTCCTTTGACTTTTTTGTCTGTCTCCTTACTTAATTTTTTTGTCGAAAGCAAAACATGTTGAGCACAGAAGTTTTTTCATAGTGAAGCGAATGTCTATTTTGTGATAAATCTAAAAATCTTACTTCATCATAATATCGTCAGTCTGTTACTGAGATCAATTTGCACCATCAGCATTACTATTTCTACTACTACTACCACTACTGATAAAAGATTAAATAATGCGTTCACTTTTCACGTATCTTGTCTAATTCAAGTGATTTGACTTTCTGAAGGTTTCTGAAAATCATATACGTGCTGAGACTAAAATATATTTTATGTATTCATTGATTTTTCCCCTCTTCATTATAACTTTTGTTGAATTTATTAATGATTATGAAAGATTTGGAATTAGCCGAGAAGAACAAGATTTATTCGCTTTAAGATCACAAGAAAAATATGCAGCCGCTTTGAAAGCTGGTCATTTTCTCAATGAAATAACACCAATTAAAGTGAGCCTAATAGATATTATTATAATATACATATATGGATGAAGAATACTGTTTTTTATAAATTTTCTTCACGTCCTACAGTTAGTTATCCATTCAAATCAGTGATCTAAACGTAAGATCGTATCCAAAGCAACTACATTTTTTAAATTATGGGATGTCAATCTAGGATTGGCAGTGAAATGAAATTCTTATTGTTCAACTGTTTAGTATGTGATGCTAACTTTAATTGGCTTATACGTCAGTCGAAATCATGAAATTAAAAACGACAATCAATAGAGATAACAGGCTGAGAAAAATATTGAAGTAATTACGAATCAGACTGCTGGCGAAAATCCAGTCCTTAACATCAACAACGGGAAAACTTGAACACTTACAAATAAATAATTAAATCCATTTACTTTGTATGAGCTAGTGGATACCTGGACACAATAGCTCAGTGTTTAACACGTTGGGTTTTTGGAGCAATATGTACTGGTTATGAGTCTCTCAACACTGGGGTGCAAGCACATCCACTTTGCAAGTCCCAAATGGGCTCCAGGATCTTGGGAACAAAAAGCGTATGAACCTGTTGTTGGTCACCGGCTACCATGGGACTGCATCTGATGACGTTGCTCCACTGCCTTATGGATCAGACTTTTAGGTCGAAGGCTCTGGGTGTGGCCTCTTAAGAAAACCACCTGCTTCGGTTTAGGCACTCAGGCAGTATCACAGTCCACACACAAATGAAATGACAATTGCTACTGGAAATACTATTCCTCCATCTGCATCTCAAGCCTGGACTCAGATTGATCACATGGTGATCAGATATCCTCGGTGTGGTTGTGTACAAGACTGCCACTCCTTTCGAAGTACCTATTAATCGTCCTGAACGGATCAGTGTCAGTAAATTTGTTGCAGCTCCTGTTGCAACTAAACATCAAACCGAGCTAGGTTCAAGGATAGCTAATATCCCACCCAA